ATTCCCAGAAGAAGATTCCTGGTAGGATAAGGACCCATCTATGTGTTATAAAAAATGAGTACCCTTGATAGAAAAAAAAAAAAATCTCTCCTCCTAAATGACGAATAACAGAGAAATACGTGTGGAGACTAAAAGGGGCAGCCCATTTTCAAGACCCTGCAAACTGAGGAACGTTTACATGGTGTGCGGAAAGGAGACAATGTGGTGCGGTGGCCTGTCACAGCCACTGTGTACCATCTGATAGCTCAGTGTGACAGGCATAGCAAGTGAAAATAATTACACTGCACTCTGAACCCCCCAGGGCTGACCCCTTTTAGGGAGAATGAGGAGTGCCATGTGGTCCCCACAGGGGAGCTGCCTGTTCGTCATGTCCTGCCTGGTAGCCTTGCTCATGAGTCTGCAGGTGCGGGTGGGAAGGGGGAGACCAGGTGCAGGGGTGCAGTGGGAGGGAGCAGGAGTCTGAGACTGAGCACATTTGACCTTCTAACGCTGGCTCCATCCAGTGCCAGCCTGTATCGTCAGCACCAAATATCCACAGGGATCCTCACGAGGCCTCACACAGGCCACAGCGCTCTGCCCCTATGCACCTGTGCCTCCCCTGTTTGACGCTCTGGTCTCTGCTTGTGCTAGTCCCCCCCAACCTTTTAGACATGCCTGGAGCAGGGGCGCGCCTCCTGCCTGGCTCCAGGAACTCCTGCTGCAGTGCTTAAGCCTCTTTGCATGGCAGGCTGCCAGTCCCACCTTCGTCATGATTGGTGTCAACAACCAGCCCTTCTCAAGCACCTTCTCCATGCCAGACATCAGCTGAGTGCTAATGATACAAAGAGGACAAAGACTCAATGCCACTTGCCAGAGCACTTACAATCTACTTGGTGAGATAAGACAGATCTGGGAACAGATTCATCTACTGAGGATAATACATTCAAGGCTGCTGGGTCTCTGAAGCATGACTATGTTATGTGCTAAATTACATCCTGGATTTGGCCTATCACCACAGGGTTCTGACAACCTACACAGTGTAACTGAGACATGCAAAAGTCCAGCCATCCTCTGCCTGGGGCTCTCAGAGCTCTGGAGGCACCAAGGAAAACAGAAGCCCAGACTGTCATCTTCAAGTTCAAGTCTGACAGTCATGAACTTTACCTTAGACCAGTCTCTGGGGCAAAACTGGTGGTGACCAGGAAACCATCAAGTGTGAGCTCATAAAGCTTGTACTTGAGATACAAGTAAAGAAATAAGGTGTATGTTTGCTTAATACTACACTTGAACCCTGGCAAACCGTGCACTGAAATTAGAAGAGTTTGGATGTGCCACTATTCAAGTCACACCTGGACCAGGTGCCCATATCCCCATCTCAGACTTCTGCTGAGCTCCACATGTGTGTACACTGTTCAGCACGTGCCTTAAAGGGGTCTCAAGCTTAATGAGCCCAAAGCTAAATTCTTGATCTTGCCATCCCCTATGCTTGTTCCTCCCCTTTCTTTTTTCTTAATCACCTACATGGCTGCTTAAGGCAAAAACTTGGACTTAAACTTGAAACATCTCTCTCTTTCATACCCACATCCAAGACATGTCTCAGCCCTCTCTACCTGTCTCCCCCCATCGCTGCCTCTCCAAGGGATGCAACTCCCATCGCTCCTCTGACCAGAAGTGCCAACCAGTCTCCACCTTCTGCACCTGCCCTTCCACTGCCTTCTTCGCAGAGTAGCCAGAGCAACAGCCTCACATACTTCAGGTTGGGTCACATCTCTGTTCAAACCCCTTCTTGGCTCCCCACTACCCTTGGATTAAAATCCAAACTTTCTACCATGTCTCTCTGCTCTGGCACTAGCCTACTTCTTAAGTGTCACATCCTGATACCCTGTCTTGATGCCAACTCTAACTGCTGGCCTTCTTTCCAACATTTTCCTAGCTGTGGGCCGCAGCAGATGTGGTTAGTTGCCTACTGTCAATCCACTTCCTGCCTTCTTCCCTGGCAGAACTGTGGTTTTACTCAGGACTTCTCTCTCCACCACACTGTCCTCTGCTTCCCTTCACCAACCGGGATGATTCCGCTTTCCTCACCATGAACTAGTTTAGCAAAGACAGTAGGGAGCTTCCTCTGCTGTGCTTTTTCTCTACCACGTGAGGACACAGAGAAAAGGTGGCTGTCTGAAGCCAGGAAAAGAGCCCTCATCAGGAGCTGAATTTGGCTGGACTTTTAGCCATTTATCTCTGTAAGAAATAAATGTCTGCTGGTTAAATTATCCACTCAGGGGGCATCTGTTACAGTAGTCTGAACTAATACATCATGGCTTTATTTGTTTACTGTTTTGATTTCAGATTAATATAAGGACAGAGACAATTAGGCCGCAGTGTTTGTGTGGGTTAGGCAAGGTCTCTGTTGCAGTTGTGCCCTTCACCTGGGAGATGTACCATATACTCTTATATTGTGCCCATTAGGTGAGAGCACACCAATCTCCCCTCTTTTTTCTTCTCCCACACCCCAACTTGAATTAAATTGAGTTTTTCTCTTGTGTGGGCATGTATTAATTCATCTACTGGCTTTATGTTAGTATTGAGTACACTGGATACCAGCTTTTCCATTCTTGTGATACTTTACTAAAGAGAATGTTCTCCAACTCTATCCAGGTTAATACAAAAGATGTAAATTCACCATCTTTTTATGGCTAAATAGTATTTCATGGTATACATATACCATAGTTTATTAATCCATTCATGGGTTGATGGGCACTTGGGCTGTTTCCACATCTTGGCGATTGTAAATTGAGCTGCGATTAACATCCTAGTGCAAATGTCCTTATGATAAAATAATTTTTTTTTTGTTCTGGGTAGATTCCTAGTAATAGGATCGTGGGACCAAATGGAAGGTCTATTTTGAATTCTCTGAGGATTCTCCATACTGACACCATGGCTTTAAACTGCTTATCCCAGAAAGCTAAGAAACACTTGTCAACATGCATCTCCTTATAGGTATGTATAGACACCCTACCCCGAGACAAAGACCTCAGAGAAATAATGATGTACATAACCCCAAAGGGAGTCTATAGACAACGTCAGGGTTCAGAGCAGACACAAAGGGACAATGAGAGGACCAGAAAAAGGGCTATTTTCCCCTTAGCCCCAGGGAAGATTTCTCTATATGGGAGACACCACCTTCAGTTCTTTGCAGTAGGGAGATTGGCCTACCATTTATTTCCTGACCCTTTCACAGTAAAGCTGGGCAAGGCAGAACCTTTGATAAGAATCTTAACCGGGACGTTAGGGAGCCAGAATGAATAACGTAGGGCCCATGTCCAGTGTCTGGGCTTACCTTGGAATGCCTGCCTCCCTCAAAAGGGAGGAGTGCAAAATTATGTGTGCATGATTTTATTAGGAGAGGGTTCATAACTTTTATTAGATTCCCAAAAGGGTCTGTAATCTATCTCTCCCAAACAAGGATGGACACTACCACAGAAGATTCCCCTTGGAAGTGAATAGGCCATATGAGTGCAGTATCTTAGTTGTGAGACTCAGATGAGCCTGCCTTTTGCCTATTTCCATAAATGAGAGTCCTATAGGCAGGGAGATTATGATGGTTGAAATTCTGCTGTGATAATGGCAAGAATCTACAGGAGCTGTCACCTAAATCCACACTAGACTACAAAAGCTGCCCAGCTCAATGTATGCTAGACGAAGACCATCTGCTTCCCAGATAATGAGATGAAGCTTGTGTAGGGGGTGTGTTTCCAGCATTCCTGGAAGACTACGGGATGTCACATACCGTCAGAACTTTCTCCAATCATAGTCCCCTGAAGTTGTCTTTCATTGTGTGCTGGGTGTGGGGTGGGGTGGGCTCTGTGTGCTGGAGAATGTTCCCTTTCTTGGGGACAAGGAGGACAGGAAATTCACTTCCTAGTAATTGCAGAAACTCACTGGCCTAAACCCATCCTATATGCTTCATAATAAGCATTTGAAGAATGCAAAGAAAAGTATAATTTAAAAATACCTTTATAGTAGACTTAAGCAAAACAAAGGATAACTGCAACAAGCTTGTGGCCTAGAACTGTATTCCTGGCTCATCAGGGTGAGACATCTGAGAAGAAGTGAGAAATCCAAAGCCTATGTCTTGATATTCATTATATTTTCTAATTCTGATTTCTTTTGGAGTGATTTGTATCCCCCCACCCTCCCTACCCCCAGAGCCAAGGTGGCACAAGAAAAGATGCTCGATGTCATTACCTTTAGGGAAATACAAGTCAAAACCACGATGACACAGCACTCACACCTGTGAGGATGCTATCACCAAAGGCAGGGAAACGTGTGTTGGTGTCATTGTGGAGAAACCAGAAGCCTTGTGCTTGCTGCCGGGAATGTACAATGGTGCTGAGTGGTGGATCCTTGGTGGATCCAATGGTGCTGAGTGGTGGATCCTCACCACACGAGCCAGCAAGTCCACTCCAGGCCCACGCCCACATGAACTGAAAGCAGGGATGCACACAGATGTTTGTACGCCCACGTTCATAGAAGCATTATGCACAGTTCCCAAAGGTGAAAACAACCTGGACGGCTACCAGTGGATGAGTGCATGGAAAAGCAGTGAGGTCTATCTGTACAACAGAAAACGCAGCTTTAAAAAAGGAGATTCTGACATGTGCTGTGATATGGATAAACTTGAAAACATTACACTACGTGAGATAAACCTAACACAGAAAAGACGAATGTTATATAGAATTCCACATTGATGAGGTAGTTGAATTCCTAGAAAGTAGAGTACAGGTTACCGGGGAGACAGGAAAAGGGAGTTTCTGCTTATGGTGTGCACAGCTTCAGTTTAGGATGACGAGAGAGTCGTGGAAGTGGATGGTGGTGATGGTTGTTCAGCACTGAATGCTCGTAATGCCACTGAATTCTCCCCTCAAATGAGGCTGATGCTAACTTTAGTGTTACGTATATTTTGCCACAGTAAAAAAAAAGGTGGAGGGGGTGGCCAAGAGGCCCACGTGGGAAGCAGTACTCACAAGATATAGGCAATCACCCCGATGGACCAGCAGTCGACCGCTTTGCTGTAAGGTTTCTGGGCCAGGACTTCAGGAGCTGTGGGAAGATAAAGAAGAGACACCGTCTGATGCTTTGAATGCCAATAACAGTGTTTAGATTTTTTTTCTTTCTTTTTTCTCTGCCATTCTTTTAGGCTGAACTTCCTGTAAGTCTGAACCTTGAGCAGAGAGGTATGACCCATTTTATTTGTTGCCTTTTGTAATTGATAGGGGGAGAAATGAAGGGTGTGTGTAGCTGGAGATTATCAGTCAAGTTCAATCAACAAACACAGAACAGGTGGCTCTCTGATGGCAGTTCTGAGCCCTACTGCTCAGACCAGGCTGACACAGAGAGGGAATACCCAATTTGGGGTCTGGAGCAGGTTATGTCACCTCAAATCAACTGAAGGCAGCATTTCTAGCCTTTGCGCGGGGCATTGCTAGGTGTAGCCCGGCCCTCACTCCCCAGAGTTTAGGGTGCAGCGGAGCTTCTGGCTAAATCTGGTCTTTGGGAACCCACTGAGCCTGCCCCCAGCTCCTTCTCTGAGGCTTGGAGTGGGCTGTCAGCACCCATTTCATTTTCTCATCTCATTTGTGAAACAGGAAAAAATGTGACTTGACTTGCTTTCTTGGCCCTACAGCACTGTGCATTAGGGTCATCCACTGCAGAGGTCTGGGCTCATTTTGTGCCATTCCCACATTCCCTGCTCCTGGCCTCGTGGCTGCAGCCAGTGGCAGCTATGTGCCTAGTGTCTGGAGACCAGCGGTGTCTGGCACTGAATATGTATTTGCACGAAGAGTAATTAAACACAAGACGAGGCAGCGAATCTTATTCACAAGTAAAATCTTCTTCCCCCTCAAAAACACATGTGATTGAGGTGTCTTTAGCAGAGACTTTCCAGAAAAATTAGAAGACTAGAGAAAATAAAAATAGCTATAGCTGATGAGGTTCTTGTACACGCTGAATTATGTTTCCTTGAGCTTAGGGTGCATCAAAACTCACCCCAGTGATCCTTGGGAGAATTGCTATGACCACCATCATCATTACTCCCAAATTATGGGGAGGCCACAGAGATGCTGAGAGCTCAAGTGACGTGGCCAAGGTGATCTGGCTAGAAAGTGGCTTCTGCACCAAATTCCTTTCAGAAGGGACTTAACCTGTACTAAGTGCCTGCACCAGCCGGGACTTGGCTGGGTCATTCACAGACGTTTTCTACTGTGATCCTCTGAACAACCCTGACAATTAACACCCGATAGACAATAACAATGAGCCTCAGAGAAGTTAAGCAACTTGTTGCACATCACACAGCGAGACAGGGAAGATCTGGGATTTGAAGGCAGGTCGATGTGACCCTTGTCCTTGCTCTTCCCCTCAGACACGCTGTTTGCTGAGGTGAGAGCTTCTTCAGTCTGGAAGAAAATAGCCCTTTTGCAGAAAAACGAATAGGAGGTTAGTTCATTCATTCATTCTCTCTCATTCTGTTGACACAAACATCTTTCTGAGCAAGAACAGGAAGGTCTGTTCAAACGTAGAGAGGTCAGACATACAATCCACATATCCCCAAATCTAATTTTGAGTTTCAGTCCCCAATTCCTCCAAACTCCCTATGAGATTTTAATTTTTTTTTAACAAGAGTAAAATAAGCAAATTTTCACATCCTTTCTTTGTTATGTTCATCCTCAGTGTCGCAGCAAAAAGAAAAAAAAAGACAGAACTACTAAGCGAGGGAAAGAATTCAGGAATCAGAAAAGCACCCTTGGGTAGTCAGGTAGTGGGTGCTGGCTACAGTGAAGCCTCATCCCCCACACCTGCTAAGAGCGTATTTCTAGATTCTTCTATCATGGGAACTGACAAGAGAGAGCATTTATCGCAGTAAATGTCTCTCTGTCTCAGGAGGTGTGCCATCCTGGAGCTGGAGCTCCGATCTGAGTGGGCAAACAAGCACGGATGGTGTGAGAAGTGACATCAGTGCAAGGAGACCCACGTGTCAGCTGCAGGGCCAGCTGACAGACAGTTTGCAAGGAGCACAGGTGGCCCGTAAAGCTGAGGCTCCTGGCCAGCTCCCCCTCCTCCCTAGCTGATAGCAGGTGTCAGGAGGGCAGATCCATGCTGGTTGGGGCTGAGGCCCTGGGGTTCTGAGTCACAGGGATCTCCAGGGCTCTTCAGGGGGACGGACAGCTAGCTCAGCTCAGCCATGCCTCAGAACCAGATGTTAAACCATGCAGAGGCCCTGGGAGCTGGGGGCAAGCTGGACAACACAACCTCATGTCCTGTGGCAGGTGCCCAAGGGTGCCAGATACATAAGAAAGGAGCAGAGAGAAGAAAGCTGTGGGGACCTTTGACAGCTGCGTCTATAACCAACAAGCAAAGACTGGGCCGAAGTCCTGAGCCATGAGGAACAGAGCAGGAATAAGAGACCATGGTCATGGTCACGTTGCTTCCCTCCTAGAAGGAGGTAATGCTCTGTCTGTGTCTGCCCATGACCATAGACCTTGAGTACCAGGCATGGTGGGAAGGAGGATTTCTTAAAAGAACAGCTTCCTTAAAAAAAAAAAAAGAAAGAAAGAAATAAAGAACAGCTTCTTCCTCTCAACCTGTGGGTCACAACCCTCTGAAACTGTATTAAAGGGCCATGGCATTAGGAAGGTTGAGAACCACTGCGTTAGAGGAATGTACTGGCCATGATCCACTATTCAGAAAATGAAATAATAAAGAACATGGTTTCCTTCTAGAAATCCATACGCCAAGGGCTCATCAAACATGTCACCTTCCATCTGGCAAATGCACCAGCACATTGGGGAACTGTGCAAGGCATGCACACACTTCTTAGACCAACCACACTGTAATAATTTTTTAAATATGAGATTCTGCTTTAGATGTAAAGTTTATGACACTGTGAGCACATGGTTATAAAAAAGATTGCTGGATAACAGCCTGGCTGTGAGGGAAATGTTCTATATTATTAACAAGTCAATATCAGGGTACAAGATTGGAGGTGGGAATTTACATATTTATGCCAAACACTTTTTGTTCTTTTTGGTGTTGCGTCTTACTAACAAAATACAAACATTTTTCAAACCAATTGGAGGCAGGTAAACCATCTGCCTTCTGGAGACGTCCTTACTTGCACTGGGAAACACACACAGGATGAAGCTAGAAGTGTAACATAATGATAAAAAAGACGTGGACATAATATTGTCACCAACTTCACGTATTTAAAAAATTACATAAATTACCAATGGCCTAAATTCTAACTGTGCTTGTGATGAGATTGCTGGAACCAAGGGTCCTTTGGAGGATTGTTTGACAGAGCCCAGACTAGATCATTTCAGTAGCTACTTTTCATCTCACAGAAATTCTTGAAAAAAAATATTTTGCAGGCAAAATTCAAAATCCTCTTGATGATGTGATGTGGTGACCAAAAAACAATGAACCCCAGAGACCTGCGGGGTTCTTCTCTGTCCTACTCGCCTCCTGTGCTCTGCAGCTGGTCCCATGGTTTCGCAGCCTGCTGAATTCACCTGGTGTTTCTGACACAACCCCACTTTCCTGAGTCCTACCCCTGGGAGAGTTCACTTCTCACTCTGATCAGTTAGAGGTCAGTTTCATGCTGAGAACCAAGGAACTGCCTGGTGTTACATTATCAGTCTCATGCTACTTGACAACAACTCTGTGGTGATTCTAAAAAACCACAGCACCCAATTTATAAGTTTTCAGTAGACAATCAAGCGTGCAGGCCACAGAGGCACAGAGCACAGTCCATCCTTGGAAAGTGACAAGGGTTCTGGGCCATGTAGCTCCTGTTCCACTCCCCACCATTATGCCTGGAGACACTGAAGAGCTTCTTCATCGGGGAGAAAGGATGTTTTCTTCTAGTGACACGGGGAAGAATTCTTGTCCCCCTTGTGGACCTTGCTCTGCCTTTCCTCCCAGTCCTTCACAGATGACCACCTCCTGTGAGGAAGCAGCCCTTGGTGCCAGAAGGGGAGGAGGACCTGTCAATCACTCCACCCCCATGCCTCCTGTAGAGGAAGACTTCGAATTGAAAAGAACTTACTTGGGCTCAGTGGCTTGTCTGTGATGCCACCTGTCCACAGGTAGAGCAGGAAATAGCTGCTGTCCTGGTATAGTCATGACAGAGGGGACATGGTGGACTCAAGTGACAAGGCAGAGTCTCTAGGCAGGGGTCCTCAAACTTTTTAAACAGGGGGCCGGTTCATTGTCCCTCAGACTGTTGGAGGGCCAGACTGTGGACCCTGGGACGAGTTGGCTGCTAAGCAGGACAGGCAACGGTGGCAAAAACACCCAGCAGGTCAGATAAATGTCCTCAGCGGGCTGCATGTAGCCTGCGGGCCGTAGTTTGAGGATGCCTGCCTGTCAGTGGCTGCAGAGACCCTCCCCGCAGGCCCCAGAGGTGAAGAAAGGGACACAGGCAAGATGGGTGGTAGGTGCAGTCTTCCAACTATCCCTCTGGCTGGGTCAAAGTCAGCCTTTTAGATCTGGGGAGAGAGGGCTTAAGCGGGGGGAGCTGTTTGCAGGGATGTGGGAGGGCAATGACCTGCGTTGGACAAGAGAGCTGGGTTTCAGGTCCATTCACCCAAATCCTGTAACACATGAGCCTCCTGTGACTCCCATCATAGCTCACACATCCCTTTACTGGGGGATCAATGCCACACCATCAATGCCAGACCTCCCGCAGCTGGGGGTCAGGACAGGGCTCTAGTCTGCATGCGTCCAGTGTTAAGCACGTCCTGGTTGGTCGCCACTTGGCTACTCAACTGAATCCAACTTCATCAGCACACGTACCATTCTTTCTATAGGAAAATGTTTTCCAAGTTCCATATAACCAAGCTACAGATAAATTTTAGGCCTCAAATATTTTTGATGAGTGGGTATAGGAAAAATTAAAAAAAGAGATGGGCCGAAAGAAGAATTCTGGAACACAGCGCCTGTCAAATGGGAAGTGCCAGCATCAGAGAGGAGCAGGATCATTTGCTGAATACCTTGTCAAAAACAAATGATTTCTACCAAGAATTAGGGGGAGAAAAGAGGAGAAT